TATCCAAGGACCAGTGGTGGGTTTCAAAAATTTTTGGAACCTCTTCTGTAGGTGTGGCCTGTTTTCCGGGTCCACTGGTGGAACCTCTTCTAACCGGTTCGATAGATTTGACGAATCAGTTCTACCGAATAGGTGCGAACTGGTAGGAACCCACCTCTGATTGCATCTGAATTGCAACTCAGCAATGAGGATGAATACTACTAACAGATTTAACAGATTGACAGAGTTGGAAGGGACCTTGCAGGTCATCTAGTTCAACCTCCTGCCCAAGCAAGAGACTATACATCTGCTTCTACATCTGCCTCTATACTACCTGCTTTTGAAGGAAGAGCGAGATACCACACATGCTATTTCTGCTTTTCTACAGCCTTCTGCAAGTACCTGTAATTCAGGTTCATGTTTCTTCTTCAAATACTGTGGCAGATTGAAGAGACTTACTCTTCTGGTTCATTTATGTGCTGCTTTACACTATTCATAGATGGCATAGTTGAGTTCTGATTTTTAAAAAAAATCTAATTTCAGATTACCTTCAGTGCATTTCTCGGAAAGTTTTGATACATTAAAGGATAGCTTTATATGAAATACAATGCTAAATAGGGTAATTAAAGCATGAATAACTGTTGGTAAGCTAAAGGTAAAGGTTCCCCTCGCACATATTGTATGTGCTAGTCATTCCAGACTCTAGGGGGTGGTACTTATCCCCATTTCTAAGCCAAAGAGCCAGCGCTCTCCGAAGACATCTCCATGGTCATGTAGCTGGCATGAAGGTGCACGGAACGCTGTTACCTTCCCACCAAAGGTGGTCCCTATTTTTTCTTGCACTTTTTACATGCTTTCGAACTGCTAGGTTGACCGAAGCTGGGATATGTAACTGGAGCTCACTTCGTTATGTGGCGCTAGGGATTCTAACCGCCGAATTGCAAACCTTTCTGATCGACAAGCTCAGCGCCTTAGCCCCAGAGCCACTGTGTCCCTCTGTTGGTAGAGCTTCCAAATTGAGGGATGGTCATACAAGAGGAGCCCTGGTGGCACAGTGGTTAGAATGCAGACAGACTCTGTCCACAGCTTGGAATTTGTTCCTGATGGGGCTCAAGGTTGATTCAGCCTTCCGTCCTTCTGATTGTTGGGGGCAATTTGCTGACATTCTAAACTGCCCAGAGGCTAAGTGCAATTGCCAAAATATATTTGTGTGAACCTGTTCCATGCAATTTCTGCCACTAGAAAAACAAATAAACGTGTTGGCTCAAATAACACTAAATCTAACTTACATGAACAGCTATTGGCTTCTTCAGACTGGAGAATTAAATAGCAGTTACAACTATTGCAAATCTAGGAGCGGGAGCATTGAAATAAATAGAGACCTATCTACTTCAAAGGGAATAATGTTTGTACCAACAGGAGACAGTATTCATTGTCAAATCAAATTGTGACAAGAATTAGATACAACAAGAAGTACAATCTAGAACATAGTTGAAAAGTAGAAGACGTTCAAGATGGAGGCTGTCACAGAAATTCAATACTGAAGAGGAGAAAGCTTAAATGCAAGAAACTCAATTTTATTAAATATAAGAAGCACCATGCTAGGGCTGGGACTGGAGGCCCAGTCAGACAGTCATATTAAAAAGCAATCCACTTGTCCATAAAACAGGAAAAAATCATGGTCCTCAAGGTAGCAGAGGCAGCACAATAAAATAGGAAATGTTAGCAGGAAAAGTGGGGGTAGATGACTTTTTCCCACCAGTGTAAAATTTCTTCTCAAATTATATCATGTATACGTCTGACTAAATCATTTAGGCTATGTGCTCCCTATATTTAGCAAATACTTGTTTATTGTATTAAACAAGGTATTCAGAAGCACTTGCTAGCACAAGAATCCTCAAACACAGTCCTGAATCTAGCAGTGGAAAATGTGGAGAAAATCTAGCATGGGCTTCATACGATCAATCAGGTAAAATCTTTGTTCCTATATACGAAAAGCATGTATCAAACCTTTTAGTGTAAATATATATATATATATATATCTTGCTATATAGCATAATCTATAGCACATAGAAACAGAACCCCAATTAATAAATGCATTTAAAGTATCTACTCAACAGCCTGTTAAATCTTTCATAGATATTGTACGCTCTCTAGAGTTCTAAATATCATGCAGTGTAAGTTTCTATGCAAATTATCCCACATGCTCCAGAAGGAGCAGCTCTGTGCCAAGATTCCATTTATGCACATTCCATTTACTCTGATGTAACTTGATAGCTGAACTATAAGCAGACCTATAAACTTAAGCTGAACTATAATCAAGAAAAATTTTGAATTTTATGGACTAATGGAATAAAGTGAAGTGTGTCATGTAAAAAAAAAATCCTTTTTTAAAATTTTTGGAAAAGGGGAACTCTGCATTAAGGAGAATGATCTGGGAAGTTTATTTTAAAGGGAGCTTCAACATTAATTTCTCTTGAATTTTGCTTGTAGCATTTTTTAAATTATGAAAAGGTTCCCTTAATTTTCATTTCTTTCCTACCATGAGAACTCAAAGTACAGTAACATGGATTTCCCTTTAACCTGATCTATTGACATCTCTCCATTTCTTTCTTTATTCCGATATTTCATCCCACTCCTTTATTGAGCAAGTAAATCTTTTTGATTTGCTTGTACACATCCATAAACTTGACTTATTTATATATCAATCTGCAGACTTTTAAAAAAATATGATTAAATATATATCTCCAAAAATTAAATATGTATTTCCAAATGTGTGCTTTAAAAAGTAAGATGTGCAATGTAAATATTAGAATATTTGGTAAAGGGAAACATGGTAAATCACAGAATATATTAAATTGCCTTGGAGAAAACAGATGAAGTTATTTGCTACCAAAATTTGCAATACATCAAGCACTTCTATTCTTGGTTTTTTCATACATTTTCTCTGGCCACAAGTAAAGGGAATGAACTATTCTTGAATAGTTATCTTGTCTCTACAATATCTAAATCTGCTGTGTATAAATCTATTATTGCTGGATAATTTTGGTAGATACTAGGAAAGTAGTTAAATTGTTAGGCTAAGGTAGTGAGATCCAGATCAAGTCCTCATTTGATCATGAAGCTCATAGGTTAACTTGAGGCTAGAAAATATTTCCACTCAGTCTACCTCACAGGACTGTAGTGATAAAATGCAGAGAATGGGAATAAGGTAACAAAGATTTGAAAGATGGTAACAACAGTGCACCAATGATTGGAAAAAGTTGTTGAAAATAAGTGAAACTAGAAAAGGAATATGCAGGGCATAGACATATGCCATCTCACATTGATTTTTCAACTTTAGCCATGGAATTCAAAGTAATGTACGTAAGGATTTTTCCATTTGTAACAGCAATGTTGTTGGCTGAGCTATAGAGATCTTGAACAACTTACCATAGCTGGCTTCCTCTGGCCAGCATGCTCTAGCCAACTTACTTCTGCCAACTCGCCTTTGCCAAGTTGACACAGCATAATTTCACACTGTCAACTCACTGGGGAACAACTCACCATGGACGGTTGTAAGAAAAGCCAGGTGGATAGATAAGCGAGAAGGTGGGCAGAGTATGCGGGGTATGGCAGGTAAGAAAGCTGGTGGGCAAAGCTTGTGAGTGTGGCAGGAGGATGGACCATGCCACCAGCAGAAGAAGCAACATGGAGCATGTCCCATCATGTAGCAGCAGCCGCAGCAGCCCAATTGCTAGTGAACCAATGTTCGATTCAAGTTGGTCTGGGCCACTTTAAGGAAGCACACAGAACACTGTTCTCCCTGTCCAATGCATCTTATGTGACCATGGTGAGTCAGTACACCTTATCAACCCCCCCCCCACCCCATACAGCTAGTCGTCCTGTACTGCCTGCTCTGGCTGGCCTCACCATCCTCGGCCACTTCTGTCTGGAGCCCAGTGTGGCAATTAAGATTCCTGGGAGGCAATTCAGCCAGCCATTGGAACTTTAAAAAAAAGATAATATGCATATACTGTATGCCCAAGGCAAAAAAACAGAACAAAACACTGAGCTTCCTATGCCTCAGATTCATTTTCATTAATCCCATGGCAGCTTGCACTGAGCACCAATTGGGCGGCGGGCAGCTGCTTCTGCAGGGACACACTCTGCACTTTCAGCTCTGGCTGCTACTGCAGCTGGTGGTGTGATCCAACCTCTTGCTGCACCCTGCATGCTCTATCCACCCACTCTCTTGATATCAAGCAACAAGCAATGTTGTTGGCTTATATGTTCTGCTCACCACTTGCTCACCTGCCTGGCTTTCACTCTGGCTGCTCGGGCAATCCATCGTCTTGCCACACCCCAGACACTTTGCCCACTCACTCATTTACCAGCTGCTACCCATGCATTCTGGCCACCATCTCACTCTCCCACTGCACCGCTCACCACTCGGCTTCCCATTCTGCTTTTCCCCCAGCTGCCCAGGCAATCCATCATCTTGCTGCATCCCGCCCACTCTGCCCACCCACTTGCTTGACCACTGCACCCCATGCATTCTGCCTACCCACTTATTGCCCTGCCTACCCAACTGGCTTTTCCTTCAACCAACCGCAACAAGTTGTCCCCATGGTGAATTGGCCATGTGGAACTGTCCTGCAGAAACTTGGTAATGGCAGGTTGGCAGTAGTGAGCTGGCCACAGTCAGCTGTCCCATTCTGATATGGCAATATGCACAAAACTGTACTCAGTGTCATTCACTTCATAATATGATGTGGTTCTTATATGTATGTCTTTAAATAGTCTCAATATAGGTTAGTACTTCAATATCAACATTCTTCTTTTATCTTGCACTTATATGCATGTTGATGTTAAATAAATGATTTTAGAAAATCACAAGCAAATATTTTAATAATTACAGATCATTCATACATAAACAAAAGCTATTTCATAGCTACCCAGGCATTTAAAAATTCTTTCAATAGTATTATGTGATTACCAGATGTGGGTTACTCCTGGTTCGGCCCGGATCGGGCAAACTGGTAGAAATGGTGGCAGGAGGCTCCACCCACCCACCTGGATGCTTCTGCACATGCGCAGAAGTGTCATGCACCAGTGCCCTCCCCGAACCGGTAGTAAAAAAATTGGCAACCACTACTGGTGCTTACTATCTCCTTTAACTTATTTTAATAATTTCTTAAGAAATCAAATTATCATGGCTAATGGTCAATATCTTAATCAAACTGGAATTAATAAAAGAATTTGATAATCTGTAACTGTCAAGAAGAAAGAGAAGGGAAGGGAAGAGTTCATTTCATTCCAGTTCCATTGCACAGTTTTCTTTGTCTTGCAGGAAGCGAAGTAGCTGACAGATGGTATAATGAAATAAAGAATTATAATTTCCAAAGCCCTGGTTTTTCCTCTGGGACAGGTAGGTATACCGGGCACTGTTTTGTAACATGGCACAGAAAGAAACATTTGGTTTTCTCCCAGATTGTAAAACCTGATGCTGACAGAGATACAAGAATGTAATGTTCAAATATTGACAGAAACATTTTGGAGTCATAGGAATGTATGGAGGGTGAAAACATTTTAAAATATTTCTCTAATGTTTTAATTCAAAGCATCATTGATTTCAAAATAGGTATAGTTTAAGTTCTCAGAAAAGAAATGGATTACAGTACTTAGAAATTTAATAATATAAGTTTATTTGTGTACTGCACTTTACATTTTAATGAATTTGCCTTATTTACAAAATATATAGCAATAGCGCTTAGACTTATATAGCACTTCATAGTGCTTTACAGCTCTGGACAGCGATATACAGAGTCAGCATATTGCCTTCAACAATCTGGGTTCTCATTTTACCAACCTTGGAAAGATGGAAAGTTGAGTCAATCTTAAACTGGTGAGAATCAAATTGGCAAACTGCTGGCAGTCGGCAGTCAGCAGAATTAGCCCTCAATATTAACCACTATTGTCACATGGCTCTTAATAAAATATGCAAATATTATATTTACAATATGCAAAATATAATACACACACAGAGACAAAGACATACACACACACACACACACACACACACACATATTTATATACCGTATTTTTCGGAGTATAAGATGCAACTTTTTCCTCAAAAAAGAGGCTGAAAATCTGGGTGCATCTTATACATCGAATCGAGCATTTTTTGGCCTCCTGAAGCCTCACCCCCTTCACCAAAATGGCCATGCATACCCTAATGGAGGCATTCAGAGAGCTCTGGGGGCTGGGGAGGGCAGAAATGAGCAAAGAATGGGCTGTTTTTGCCCCCTCAGCACCTAGCAGCACTCTATAAGCCTCCATAAGACTATGCATGCAATTTTTTTTGACAAAAAATGGGCCAGTTTTCACAAAAAATGGGCTGTTTTATGCTTGTTTTTGTTTTTGCCCCCCATTCTCCCAGGAGCACCCTGCGAGCCCCCACCCCGATTATTCATGACTTTTAAAAAAAAAACATGCTCGTTTTCGTGAAAAACGGGCCATTTTGGGGAGATTTGCAGAGTGCAAAATCACTTTTGTTTTCCTTTTGTAAAGCTCTTTAACTGATTGATGAGAATTACATTGACCAAGTGCTGTGCCAGCAGAAATACCTACCTATCTACTGTATTTCTCTCTCTCCCCCCCCTCTCTCTTTCTCTCTCTCTATCCCTCTACCTACCTACCTACATACACACTCCATCTCCCTACCTACCTACTGTATTTCTCTATCTCTCTCTATTTCTCTCTATCCCTGTATCTACCTAACTACTCTCTCCCTACCTATCTACTGTATTTCTCTCTCTATTTCTCTCTCACTATCCACCTACCTACCTACCTACCTACCTACCTACCTACCTACCTACCTACACACACTGAAATTATTTGTGAGGTGCAAGAGATGGTGAGCATGGTCACCTTATGGCTGCTGTTGTTTTCAATATTTTTGGGGAGGGCTTATTTTTGGGAGAGTTTATTTTAGTGCATGCACTAAAAAGCCCAATTGGGCTTATTATCTGGGGAGATTTTATTTTCAGGGAAACAGGCTCCATACAACTCTACTGTGCCCTTTTTCTTTAACAATAACAATTTTGGATTACTTTGTATTACAAATTAAAAATAATTCTTTAAATTTCAGATATTAATATGCAAACATTCCCTGTTTAGAGAAATATAGAACTGCTTCTGTAAAACAATTTGTATCCATACTAATTAAAAAGAGAAATAAATTAAAATAAGATGTAGTATCCCAATCATACCACAAGATGGTGATAAATCACTACAATTTATTCATTGATTGCTGGAGTCAGGCTCTTTTACTGCAAAAATGGCTTAAAGGTAGCTTAATGAAGACAATGCAAAATATTCAGCAACTGTCAGTATTATATGCTATTTAAACTCAGTTTGTTTAGAGACATAGGTATAAAGTATTATAGCAGAATAACAGAATAATAGAAAAGAAGAGTTGAAAGGGATCTTGGAAATCTTCTAATCTAACTCCTGCTCAAGCAGGAAACCTTATATCATTTCAGGCAAATGGTTGTCCAATCTCTTCTTAAAAACTTCCAGTATTGGAGCATTCATAATTCCTGGAGACAAGCCTTTGCACTGATTAATTGTTCCAACTGTCAGGAAATTTTTATTTGGTTCTAGGGCGCGTCTCTCCTTGACTAGTTTCCATCATTGCTTCTTGTTCTGCCTTCAGGTGCTTTGGAGAATAGTTTGATTCCTTTTTCTGTAGGCAGCTCCTTAGGTATTGCTATCACATCACCCCTAGTCTTTAAAAAAAAATTAAACTAGACACGCTCAATTCCAGCAATTATTCTTTATATGTTTTAGACTCCAATCATCTTTGTTGCTTTTCTATGCACTCTTTTTAGAGTGTCAACATCTTTTTTACTTTGTGGCAACCAAAACTGGATGCAGTATTCCAAGTGTGGTCTTACCAAGGCATTATAAAGTAGTATTAACACTTCATGTGATCTTGATAAAATCTCTTTATTAACGTGGCAGCTGGAGTACACTGCTGGCTCATATTTAAGTGATTGTCTATTAGGACTCCAAGATCCCTCTCACAATTACTACTATTGAGCAAGGTACCACATATAGTGTTCCTGTGCATTTTGTTTTTCTTACCTAAATATAGAACTTTATTTTTTTCAACCACTGAATATCATTTTGTCAACAGGATCCAATGTTCAAATCTATAAAGATCCTTCTATATCTTAAGCTTATCTTCTGGAGTGTTGGCTATTCCAGCTTAGAGTTATCTGTAAATTTGATGAATTCCCCATCCAAGTCATTGATGAAGATATTGAAGAGAGTGAGCCTTGGGGTACCCCACTGCATATGTCCATCCAAGTAGATGCAGTTCTATTAGGACTCCACATTGAGTGTGATTGGTCAGCCAGTCCATCTGGTGGTGATGCTGTCTAACCCACATTTTCTATCTTATCAAATAATAGGTTGTGGTCCATCAAATGCCTTACTAAAGTAAAAGTAAATGATACCCATAGCTTTTCTCTGGTCCACTAATTTTGTCACTTTGTCAAAAATGTAATAAAATTTGTCATGATATGTTTTTGACAAACCCATGTTGGCTTTTGGTGATGACTTTGTTTGCCTCTAGATATATGCAGATTCATTGATTGATGATCTTTTCCTGAATCTTCCCAAGTATTGATGTTGGGCTGATACTGAACTTGACATTTAATTTTGTTGTATGAGATGCAATAAAGGAAACTAAATTAAATTAAACTGATAGGTCTGGATTTCCCCCCGCCCCCCATTCCCTCCTTTTAAAGATGAGGCCTTATATCAGACCCTTTCCAGTTCTCTGATAGTTCCCCAATGATCTAGGATCTTTGAAAGATATGGTTCAGTGTTTCTGGAATCAAGTAGGCCATTCCTTCAGAACCTTGGGGTGTAATCCATCTGGTTCTGGGGATTCAAACATTTCTAGGGTGTATAGGTGCTCTCTTACCATTTCCTGGCCTATTTTAACCTGAATTCCTAATCTGTTTTTTACGGTACTGTTTTTGATAAGTTCGACACCCCCCACCCCCCCCCGGTAAAGACAGATTCAGAAAATAAGTTAAGCAGTTCTGTATTCGGTCTGTTACTCATAAAATAAATAAAAATAAATAATAAATAAAATATTTATTTGTGAGCCATGGTCCAGTGGTTAGAGTGCAGGACTGGAGGCTACTTCTGCTGACTGCTAGCTGCCTGCAATTTGGCAGTTCAAATCTCACCAAGCTCAAGGTTGACTCCGCCTTCCATCCTTCCAAAATGAGAACCAGATTGTTGGGGGCAATATGCTGATTCTGTAAACCACTTAGAGAGTGCTATAAAGTACTGTGGAGTGGTATATATGTCTAAGTGCTGTTGCTATTATTATACAGTAAATAAATAATAAAACAAAGCAAAATAAATCTATTTTTAGGGTTAGATTTTTAAAATAAATATATCTATATAAAATAAATACATCTATATTTAGAGTTAACCCTAAACTCTAACACTGATTTGAGGCTAAAATGTTTCTTACATATCTACAGAATTAAGCAAGATTTATTCTTGCTTAATACTAAGATTTCCTTCTTTCCTGGAATTCTAGTGAGTCAATTCTGAATTCTAGTGAGTCAGTTCTGAAGCTGTGCAAGGATATTAAATTGAACATGTTTATTGCATCAGTCCAGTTTCTCAGAATTCTGCCTCTAGTTAATATATTTCTATTTAAGAAAAAAAGAAATGATAACATCTAACAGTGTTTCTCAACCTTGGCAACTTGAAGATGACTGGACTTCAACTCCCAGAATTCCCCAGCCAGCGAATGCTGGCTGGGGAATTCTGGGAGTNACCTGTCCGAGAGATAGGAGGAGAACCACCTTAAAATGGTGCCTCCCACTCCCACTTCTCTGCTTCTCAGCAGCCCATTATAATGTAGCAAGAGAGTGCAACACCATGTTTACACAGCTGGTCTTAATTTCTTCCTTCTAGAGTGACTTTATCATCAGTTCAATGTTATCAGCCCTACTTCAAGGTCATTTTCTTAGGCAGCTCTTCTTTTTAACCAGCTTTTATTTACCACTAGATAGCAGTGCAAACAAATAATTCATCATCTCTATCTTTTAAGTTCACTGCTTGAAAACAGAGAGAAACAAATGTGCAAGGTAAAAGCCTATAAAAGTCTGTAAAAGATAAAGAGTAAAGTAAAAGTCAAAGTTCCAATTTTCTTTCTAGCCCTTCAACAATTAAACAGTTCTCAAGATCTATAGTTTATTTTATTCTGTAAATGGCTCCGTCTGTCTGTTCGCTGCTGGTCTGAGGGTGGGAGAGCTTTCTAACGCCTGTCCCCCACTATCTCCTGTCACTTTTTCTTTAAAAGAGTTTTTTCAACCGGAGGTTAATTACAGG